CACAGGAGAAAATCCTAGTGTGGGGGTAACGTTTTTTTTTTTAAAAAAATTACTATATTACTACTCCTAAAGGTAGCAAATAAATAACTTATTTTTTAGCAATTTGAAGTCGGTGAAGTAGTTTTTTAATTTTTGTTAAAACTTATAATTGTTATCAAACTGAAGTGCAAAACGAACTTTCAGTCCACTTGATGAGAAATGACTCCTGCAATTGAGGGTACCTGAAACCAACTTTAAACAAAGAAAGTTACAGATGCGATGTCATCTCGAAGGGCAACCGTGCACGCATTGCTGTTTGGCGGCAGAAATACTTAAGAGGATGGTACCCAGGCGGGCTCCTGGGGAGAAAACGAGACCAACCACCTAGTAAAATATTCATTTAATGAACGCCTGACTTGTCTTCTGTCCTCCATTAATGTGCGTGTAGCAGAGCCCTCGAAACGTGCGTTAAAAATTAAGTTCAAATTAGACGCGATAAAATTGTATCTGCCTGATGGCAATTCAATAATAATCATTTAAAAAACTGAGTTTGCCAACACGTCTGCCGAGCCTGGTAACAATGGCAATTATGTTCCGTATGCGGCAGCCTAATGGGACACTTATTTATTAAGCAGTGGAGTTTTGATAAGCGAATAAAGATGAATTGAAAAAGTGATAAAAATCGTAGAATTTTTTTTTCCTATTTGGAGTGCCAATATAACCATTAAATAAAATTTTAATTTTTTTATCGACGAAAAACAGACATTTCTTTTCAATGTATTTACTCTAGGGCGCTTTATGGCATTGCTCAGCAACAAATCCATCAAATTATTTATCTGTCGATCTTTCGCTATCAATACAACGCTGAATTCTTTACAACACGTGTCCCGTGCAAGTACGTGGCGAAAACGCGTTACGTTCTCGTGAGAAAAAGATCTGCGTGACGGTTGGTAATAATAGAAGATGATTAGGCGCTATAAGTTTGGGCAGAATAGCACAGATAATAAATATAAATAAATCAGATATTTATTTTATATAACTTATTGCCACATATTTACATTCAATAGTTATTTGAAAGGCATTTATAAATGAGAATAACATAATATAAAAATTGTACTGGTATAGTTTTTTTTAATACGTCATAAATCGTAAACCGCAATTTACCTTTCATTCAATCAACTCAAATATAAAAATAAAAAAACATTTAATTTCATAAACATAAAACTTATGCATAAACCATTATTTTCTAATAATAATTCTGTAAAAGTTGCCTACGTAAATAATAATTATAATTCGCTCGGGGCGTGGCTTGATCGGTAGCGGACTGCGCTTACGCAGACCACAGAGTAAAGAGGACCAGAGGGGAAGCTTCCTAACAACGTCGAAAATCTATACCTATTCTGATAGGGTTGTCACCTGATGCATGTGAAAATTTTAAGGAAAAAATAAAAATTTTGTATAGCATAAGTGATGTATATGCGCACTGGTACTTCGAAAGAACGAGCGCGTAATAAATCAACTCTCTGGCAGTACGGTCGTTTCATTTAAATCGCATACGCTACATTTGGCGATGAGGTGTGTACAAGTACCCGCAAAAAAAATGGCTTACATCGGAAATGTACCGAACTTTGACTATAAAAATAGTGAGTGGTCGATTTTAAAAGGAAAATTGACGTAATTTTTCAAAGTCAATAACATCAGTGGAGATAATAAAAGTGCAATACTTATAGCAAACTTCTCGGATGAAACCTATCGACTCGTACGTAACCTTGCGTACCCACGCGAGATAGCATCGCTAAGTTACGGAGAACTGGTCGAATTACTCGATAAGCACTTTGAGCCAAAGCACAGTTCTTTCGTAGACAAAGCAAGATTCTACGGAGCGACAAGAAACCCAGGCGAGCCATTAGGAGAATGGGCGGCGCGACTACGAGGCCTTGCAAGTTATTGCAACTTTGGTACCGCCTTAGAAACTGTTCTGTTGGATCGTTTCGTCCTAGGCTTGGGGACGGGCCCCGAGCGGGATAGACTATTCGAGCAAGATATTTCAAGTCTATCTTTTGCAAAGGCTTTAGAAATAGCTGAACAGGCAGCTTATACGAGAGAGGCCAAGGCTCTAGTAAGCAGTGAAACAGGTATTAACATCAAGGAGGAGCAGGTATATTACTCAGCTGGCGAATCTAGTCGTCGGAGCGGCGGGAACCGTTGGAGAAGCAGTGGGGGCATGCATGTAGGTGCTGCCGATGACAGTGGAAGCAGTAGCAGTGGCAGAGCGAGTGTATCGCGTAACGGGTGTAAAGAAGAGGTTACAAACCGTTGCGGTGTATGTGGTTTAAAAACACATAGTGCAGAAAAGTGCCGTTATAGGACCTATCGGTGTCAAAAGTGTGGTATTAAAGGTCATTTAAAAAAAATGTGTAAAGTTCGCGTAAACAACATCAATACCGTTACGGAGGAAACTGAATCAGATGGAGACTGTGGGGACCGCATGGAGTGCCGTTTGCATAATATGAGGTATGAGACTTTGGCTCCTATTACTGTGGTGGTGAATATTAGCAATAAAAACTTCCGTATGGAAGTGGACTCGGGATCGGCCATTTCAGTTATGTCCGAACAATTTTTTTTGCAATACTTTCCTACCGTAACATTGAATTATAAATGTAATATCAGAATATGTGTTTATAACGGCCATTAAATTACGCCTTTAGGTTATTTCTGTACAAAGGTAAAATATAACGGTTTAATGAAGCAATTAAATTTCTTTGTTATAAAAAAATGGTGGGCCACCACTTTTAGGGCGTGATTTTATGTCTCAATTTAAAATTAAGTTGACATCAGTTAATAATAATAACATTTTAGTGGACAGCTATGAAAGTGAAGTTCAAAATTTATTAAATACGTACGCGGACTTGTGGAGTAAAGAACTTGGGGCATTTAATAAATTTAAAATCACCTTGCACCTTAAAGATAACGCGGCACCAAAATTTTTTAAGCCACGAACTGTGCCTTTTGCTCTGAAAAACAAAGTAAATGAAGAAATAGACCGATTAACATGTGCGGGCATTCTGATTCCGGTAAATTACTCTAAATATGCGACCCCTATCGTACCTGTATTAAAAGAAAACGGTAAAATAAAGATCGCAGGTGATTACTCATTAACATTAAACAAAGACCTACTAATCGATAAATATCCTATGCCGCGCATAGAGGAAGTCTTCGCGAAAATAGGGGGTGGCGAGAGATATACGAAAATTGATTTGAGCAACGCTTACAATCAGTTTATATTATGCGAGGAGTCACAGGAACTTACCACCATTAATACAACCCGTGGCTTATACAAATATACCCGGCTTGTATATGGTTTGGCTAATGCGCCCGCTATTTTTCAAAGGACATTGGAAACCCTATTAGCAGATATTGAAGGTGTTAGTTGTTGGCTAGATGACGTTTGTATCACGGCCCCTAACAAGCAATTACATTTGAGCAGGTTACGTGAAGTCTTAGGTAGGCTTAAAGATGCAGGTTTAAAATTACAAAAAGAAAAGTGTGATTTTTTAAACGCAGTGTTACGTACTTAGATTACGTCATAAACAGACAGGGCCTTAAGACGTCTCCAAAGAAGATTGAGTCAATTCTAAGCATTCCACGACCACAAAATATTTTAGAAGTAAAACGGTTTCTAGGCATTATAAATTACTATCGTAAGTTCATACCTAGGGCATCAGCCATATTACATCCATTCCATGAACTACTCCGTAATGATGCAGCGTGGACATGGAGTGAGCGTCATGAGAAGGCGTCTATACAAGTTAAGCGTGAACTATCATCAGACCGAGTGTTGAGGCATTTCGACCCGAGTGCGCGACTTGTGCTCAGTGTGGACGCGAGCCCGGCCGGTCTTGGTGCGGTGCTGGCGCAGGGCCCAGAAGGTAACGAGCGCCCACTTGCTTTCGCTTCCAGGTCTCTTACAGCCAGTGAAAGTAATTATAGCCAAATACATAAAGAGGCTACGGCTATAATATTTGGCGTTAAATATTTCCACCAATATTTATTTGGTCGAAAAGAACCTTTTGTGCTGAAAACAGATCATCGGCCCTTATTAGCCATATTTGGTAAGAAAAATGGAGTCTCGGTTATGGTGGCATCGCGCCTCCAAAGGCACGCACTATTTTTGTCAGCATATAATTATGTGATTCAATAAGTCTCTAGTGATAAAAATGTGGTAGCGGACTATTTTTCTCGGACACCTAATGATAAATGCTTAAGGGAATCAGATGACCACGAAAATATGTCTTATTTAAAGTTTTTGGATGATACGATGTTGCCTGTCTCGTTAACAATATACGTTTAACAACTACACGGGATAAAACGTTGCAAACAGTAATTAAATATGTTCGTAATGGTTGGCCTCGAAAAGTTTGTTGCAAAAACATTCAACCGTATTTCAATTGTAAAACAGATTTGGAGGTGGAACACGGTTGTCTTATGCGGGGTCATAGAATTGTTATTCCAAAAATATATAGGGATCGTATGTTAGAAGAGCTTCATAATGGTCATTTAGGAATAGTTAAAACCAAAGGCATAGCGCGCGGTAAGATGTCGACTCTGCTATCGAGCGATTAGTGTCGAGCTGTAGCGCGTGCAGCGCTGTGCGGCCCGAACCGCCGCGCGCGCCCCCCGCACCCTGGCCTCGCGCACCAGCTGCCTGGGAGCGCGTACACATAGACTACATGCAACTCGGACACCGCACGTATCTCGTTGTTGTAGACAGTTATAGTAAATGGCTCGAATGTCTCCACATGTGCAGCACTATGTCCACTAAAATGTTAATACAAAAACTTAAATATTTGTTCTGTACTTTTGGTTTACCTAAGTTATTAGTTTCTGACAACGACCCAAAAATATGTAATGCAGAATTTCGATTTTTTTGTAAAGTTAATGGTATTAAATATATGACGTCTCCTATTTATCACCCCTGTAGTAATGGCCAAGCCGAAAATTCCGTACGCACTTGTAAGAAAATGCTTAAATGTATCCTCAGTAATAATTTAAATGTAAGCAATGAACGAATGAATGAATTGTTGTTAAGATGTCTATTCGAATATCGCACCAGCATTCACAGTAGCACCGGTGAAACACCGTCAAAATTAATGTTTGGTCGTGAACCGCGAACGCGATTAGATTTAATTTTACCGCCTACGAATACAGACATGCAAACATCACAAGATAGTAGTAGATAGTAGTGTAAGGCGGTTTAATATTGGTGAAAAGGTTTGGGCGCATTGTTGTACGTCCCGTAAACCATCTTGGTCCCAAGCTACAATTGTAAGTAGAGAAGGTAACAGAATGTATACGGTTTCAGTTGCTGGTCAAGGTGTTTGCAAGCGACACATAGACCAACTGCTGCGATATACGAAAAGATACAAGACACCTGAAACTGCGAATGACGTATGTTGTGCATCAGCATTTCAGCCGCAGTATCCGACTGCCATCTCCCCTGCACCTCCTCCCGTTGGTATGCCGGGTAGTAGAAATAACGCTCCGCTAGTCAATACAGCATCTATGAACACGCATTCTAACGCCGAGATATCTCCACAGGAAGGCAGTGAGCCAACTTTAATGCTAGATGAGGATAGAGGAGAGGCGGTGATGGTAGATCGGCAGAGTGTCTCGGTGGAGGGGATTGTCGATCGACAGGATGGCGGGGAACAATCAGAGTCTGTTTCTGTTGCACCTAAGCCCGTTCCTTCCGCGCCACATAGCGATACCGAACAAAGCATCCCTCGCTGCCGTTATAATCTAAGACCAAGAAAAAAAAAATTGTAAAATTATAAATTACTTTTTTGTTGTTATTAGGTTTTCAAATTAATGCGGAAGGGGTGATGTATATGCGCACTGGTACTTCGAAAGAACGAGCGAGTAATAAATCAACTCTCTGGCAGTACGGTCGTTTCATTTAAATCGCATACACTACAATAAGACATCATGTGTATTTATTATAACTTATATTAATGTAACAACATATTTATTAATTGTTCCAAATCAAGAGTTTTGGTGTAAGTGGTGGTAGTTGTGGCTGTGATGGTGGTCGTGGGCAGTGGCGGTGGTGGTGATAGTCATGGTGGTAATGGTGGTGGTGTTGATGAAGTCATTGTTGGTCCACTGCCTACTACCATTACCTACGATACTACCACCTCCATCACCACTGACACCATCAGCAACACTATCCACCAACACCAACACCAGCACCACTTCCACCAACACCAATCCCTGGCAATTGTATTCCAACCATAATGCAGTGGTATTTACCACTGCTGTCACGACTCGCAAAAAGTAACTTATATCCTACCCCAGGAAGCAACCTACCTCTATACTAATGTGGGTGGATAAAGTCACACATTTAGCCTTATTACGTAGGATATTCTGTCATCTACGGCACAGTCAAAGTAAGACTGACTAACGTTTCAAGTAGGTGAGACCGACATCATCACTCGGCGACGCACCTTTCTAACACATTCTCACTTACCTATCAATGTTATATTACCTAGTATTATTGTATACGTAAAAAGGTACTTACTTCACTTGATCTCTCGGGTACAAAAAAAAGGAAATATCCTTATTTTCTCTAGAATTATTCATGCATACTGTACAACTATTAGGCATTTTTGCTTATACAGAAAACTTATTATTTATAATAACTTAATTCTTAATTATTCTTATTAAAAAACTTTAATCTAATTATTTAGTAATTGTAAAAATACTTAATAAATTAATTGATGTATAAAATATCGAAATATTTTTGGTCTATTTATTTAAATGCGCACGACTAACAGCTCTTTCATGGACACTGACTGAGCCGGCGCAAACCGGTTTGTACCCCGACGGAGCGTCGGTGAACCTGTCGGTGAGAGCTCACGCACACATCGCTGCGCTATGTATGGGTGTAGTCGCAGCGAGCCGTTTGTATGTAGCTTCCCCTCTGGTCGGTTTCTTTACTGATGTGCGCAGACGTCGTTGACACTCGTGCGCGCGGTATAACAGTATTAGAGGGGTACAGAAAAATATGAAAAATAAGAATTGTATGTGTGTGTGTGTGTGTGTGTGTGTGTGTGTGTGATGTGTGTGTGATGTGTGTGTGTGTGTGTGTGTGTGTGTGTGTGTGTGTGTGTGTGTTTGTATTTGTGTTAAGTTATGCCATGTGTTTAAGAATAATCTCTGTTTCCTCGTAATCTAAAGGTATTAAATAGTTAGTAACTATTTTTTTTCATTCGCGTAGTGTTTTATTATATATGTGTATATTTATTTTTATAGAATATTTATTTTTATTATTTACCTTCGAAAACGTATTTAACGCGCGCGCTGGGCCTCGATATCGAGGTCACCTCCCGCTCCCCCCGGCCGCCTGACGCGGCGGGATAGGACTTTTCGAGAATTAGTGTAGAATTTCTTGCGAGCTAGACGGACGTTTTGCCGCGCTTAACTTGTTGCGAAAGTATCCACCGTGTAGATCGTTGCGAGATCCTTATCGTTAATCAGGAACTAATAACTCCGTTAAATTCATTGTGCAACCATACTAGTGATCTACCTCTGAAGTGCTACGTGTAGCTGTCCCATTTTGTGACAAACCCGGAAGAGCGCCTCCAGAGGGGGAAAGTTCCGAAGATACCAGCGCATACCTTCTCCCGGACGGCATTGCGGCATCCAGATCAGGGCCCGTCAACATACACGCACATACAATTACACCTACACTCACGACACTGTCATCCGCCGGGCCGGTCTCGGAGAATCGTCTCCGCTCCTGGAGCAGGTGAGTGCCTTTATCGTAGTAACATTTCCCCTCGTTTGTTTCCATCAGAAAATTTCCACGTGGCCACATTGAGCCCGACCTACGTCTGCTCGGGAGGTCTTCAGCTCATGGGCCCCTGACGATCTGATCCTTTAAGGGAGCAGCCGTAGGCCGTAACAAACTGGTAGCAGAACGCGGTTCCGGGTTCGATTCCCGGTCGATCCCGACCATAGTGTTGATTTCTGGTGGCAGGGAGCGTTGGTTTAATTTGTATCTACAATCACGCCCGTCAGTAATACGTAAAAATATTTTTTTTGTACGTAATAATAGAATTATTTCCCTTTGTTGTTGTTGCTTGCCCTTTGTTTTGGTTAGTAGGTAGTTTGAGAAACCGCGCCCTAGGTTGCGCAAGCGGGAGTTTTTCTAGAGATATACGTCATGTAGGTAGATGGTTATTTATACGTAATCGGTTAATTATCGTTGTCGGATAGTTGTAGTGGATTACTTATCGATTTCTGAATTTCGAAGTACCTTCGTTTATACTGTAATTTGTAATTGAACTAAAGAGTAGTAATTGTATTTGCGCAATTTGAATTTAACTTGATTTGACCGTACTAGGGTTGTTACGTGCTAATTTGATTGTGTTTTTTCGTATTTACTTGTAGTTTGATTGATATTATCGTATTAGCAGTACTGTATTCGTTATTTCTTTTATTTTGTTGTTAGTATTCGTTATTGTATTGCATTAATATGCCGTCACATAAGCTACTAATTCGTTGCTTGCGGACTGAGCTGCGCTGGGCCACCAGCGCACACGCATTGATAGGCCGACCGGACAGGGTCTATAATCTGAGGAAGAGGCTCGAGCAGGTCGATGCTCGAAGGGCTGCCGTGGAGGAGGCTTACTCTGAGCTCGAGGACTCGGAGGTGGAAAAGGGAGTCCTGGACTCCTGCCGCGCGGACTACGAGCAGTTCCTCGCGCTAACGGACGACCTGATCGAGGCGGGGGCCAAGGACGCAGAGAGGGAGCGCGAAGCTCGGCTGATTAGCCTTCTCGAGTCCCCGCGGAAGCCGCCTACTCAGCCGGAGCTGCTAGGACGACTCCCCACGCTGTACCTGCCAAGGTTCTCCGGGGTCCTCTCGGAGTGGCTGACCTTCGTCGGCATGTTTGACAGCCTGGTGGACGCCCGGAGGGACCTGACCCCCTGCCAAAAAATGGGGTACCTCCTGGCATCCCTGGAAGGGGAGGCCCTGGGCGTCGTCGGCCACCTTAAGTTTTCGGACGACGCCTACCAAAACGCCATGGATCTCCTCGCTGGAAGGTACGCCAACGTCCGGCGGATTGCGGAGGATCATGTTCGGAGGCTGCTGAATCTCCCGCTGCTGAAGGACCGGACTAGACTACGTGAGGACATAGTGAATCCAGTCGTCGTAGCGTGCAACTCGTTGCGGCGGCTGGATTTACCTGTGGACGAGTGGTCTTTTCTGCTCCTTCATATAGTGCTGTCCCGCCTGCCCCTCGACCTTCGGCTCCATTTTGAGGAGAGGTACGGAGGGGATGGCGCTTCGTACATGCCCCCCTTTAGGGACCTGCTGCGGTTCCTGGAGGAGCAGTGTAGGCAGCTGGAGAACGCCGCAGGCGCCGTCGAGGGCCCCCCGGCCGCCTCCCGAGCGGTGCCCAGGGAGAGGCGGAATCAGCCGGCCAAGGCGGCGCCCACCCCCCTGAGGCCGAGCGGGAGGGCGCCCCCCAGTACCCTCCTATAGTGGCCTAGCGGCCCGGGAGGCGCCCCCCTGCTCCTATTGTCGAGCCTCCGACCACCGGGCGGCGTCGTGCCCGAAGTTGTTGCGCAAGCCGGCTACGGCGAGGCGAACCATAGCCAGGGAGCGCCGCTGGTGCTTCTCGTGCCTGGAGAGGCATTTACAACGAGACTGCCCGCAGCAGCGGCCCTGCACGCACTGCCAAGGCAACCACCACGTTATATTGTGCCTGGGTGCGCGCGGCTCGTCCTCTCATGGCCCTGCCAGCCCCCCGACTCCCACGGGCGGGGGCGCCCAGCCACGCCCACTGTCAGGCGACGCCCGGCGCTCACCGGTGGACCACAGCGCCCCTCGTTCTGAGGGGAGTCCCTCCCCCGATCGGTCTGGGAGTCGTTCCCCCAGGGGCGGGGGGGCCTTCACCCCCCCTCAGCGAGTTGATAGTGGATTCGCAGCCACTCAGCGGTCAGCTAGACCGTTCTCACCCCCGTTGGCTGAGTGGCCGCGACTGGAACGCCGCCCGCCCCCCTTTGGTCGGTGCCGGTACTACCGGGTTCCGGAGACGGCGTATCGGCCCCGGACCTTGGAGCCGAGGATCCCCGAGTTTCCCCAGGTCGGCCCGTTCGGGGAATCCCAGTCAAGGGTCATCGAGACGCCGTCGGAGTGCCGCTCTCGGGGGCCCCGGTTCGGGTGCCGGCC